CCAAAGCCGCGTGGAAACGGTTTCAAGCTGCCAAGGCGAGTTGGCAGTGCGATCTTTCGAGGCCTGCTCGCCACCGTGGCATTGTTTGTATAGCTCCGTGAGCGCACGTGCGGGCAAGCAGCCCATCTGTACTCTGAAGACAGCTTGCAGCGGCTGGTTGTCACATCCTTCCAGCGGCGCTCAGACATCTACGCAACGGGGCCCGGCTCCGGAGGCTCCTGGGCTGGAGCCCCGACCGCAGAGGGGTGGGCTGGGGCTCCCCGTGTGCCCGAGAGGTGCAAGGTCCCCGCGTGCCGGAGACGCTGATGGGGCGCGGGTGGGGTTCGGGATTGTTTTGCGTCGGTCAGGACTATATCGGGTCAGTGGGTGCGCGGGTGAGTGGGTTCGGGGGGGTGGTGCAGGATGGGTGGGGTGGGGCGGGGGGGCTCCAATTGGTGCCGGGGGATTCCCGTTGGGTGATGGGGCTGGGGTTTCCGACGGGGGCGGGACGTGGGAAAGTAATCTTGGGCCCCATGCAGCGTTCTGTGTTCATCTAGTCATAGTCCTACCACGTTACAAGCGTATTAACGTATACTGCAGCAGGTCATGTGGTATTAAGTTGCACACTCTACGAAACAGGAACACATAAAGCACGATGCACGGCGCAGTCATTACTTCCTCCGAATCGTGCCATGGGATCTTATAGACATGCGTAAAATTCACAAGTCGTGGTGGTCCAAGCTTTTAGCTGGTGCACACTGACGCGGTCTTCTTGTGCGAACCCCCTGTCGCGACCATGGCGTTTCATGTCGAAGGCTCTCTCAACTTGGCGCTCGTTACAGACAGCTTGCCGCAAGGGGTTGAGAAACGCGTTGACATTCAGGTGCCTTGTTCTCTGGTCCTCATGGGGCGCTTCACACAGGATCCAGAGTCGAAGGAGGGGGCGCCGACCGCCAAGTCATTGGAGAAGGAGGTCCCCCAGCCAGAGCATTCCGAGCAGCAGGGGCCCACAGCGCCGAATTTGCCCCGTGCTTCCATGTTGGATTTGAATGTTTTGGACTCAGCTTCACGCATTGATGAGCTGTGGTGGTCTCGCGGGATGGCGCCTCCCAGCGCCCGCAGTCGTGGAGACCCCCTCACCAAATAATATGGTCGGCTTCTGCTCGGGTGGCCGCGCCGTGCCTTCTCCAGAACGGTCGATTGATTATCGTGCTGCCGTGCCTGATTTTGCTTCGCCTCCTCGCAATTTGCCAGGTGGCGGCGCCTCCTCGCAATGCGCCGAAGAGGGGCAGCGCGATTTCGAAGGCGCGCCCTCAATATTCGAGAAGGGCTTTTTTGCAAGTGTTTCAAGGCAGGTGTGTGTCGTAGTGGAGGATAGCCCTGTTCAAAGGGCAATCGCCTTCTGGTGCCCGTGGCGTGTCCGCCGCGCCTCCGTGTTTCGATCCGTTGCTGGTTGGGGCGCCAGCAAAGCATCAGACGTCTGAGGTGAGCACGCCTGTGAAGCTCCCTGCAGATCAGCCTGGCCAGACCACGCAGCCTGCCAAGAAGCGCCGCCCCTGGCCTTTGAACCCGCACTTTTTCTCTGCTGCGCACGACAGCGGGGCTATGACTATGGCGCGGCCCTCGTGTGCCAGGCCCTTCGTGTGTCTAGGGGGCGCTCAGGGTCCGAGTTTGGATCCTTTTGTGATGGTGGGCCAGCACCCTCAGTCCGCCAGCATGGTGATCAGGGATGTGGCTGACTCCGCCATTGTCTGATGCACCAGCGCTTCGTAAAGGCTGGGTGACGGGGAGGTGCCAGGAGGGGCGTCAACAAAAACACGGGGGAACAGGACACCGATGATGATGTTGATGACTACTCAACACTAGCCAGTAACCATTAAACCTGAGGGTGAATACGGAGGTTGAACACTAGTATAGGGAGGCGTGAGAGTCAAACACCATGGCCAAGCACTGCGTTGCACGCTTCCTTATACCTTTTTGTGCGCATGCTCAGATCCAATTCATGAGACCTGCGGCTCCATGGCATCAGTGCGATGCGAGCTGGTCTCGTCGGGGGTCTGATGGTAGACAAGTTCCAGGCTCGTCCATGGGATTGCGGCGAGCAGAATTTCCCAGTCGGGTTGCGCATGAACTGTCCACTCTTATCCCCTTATTCCTGAGTCCCGTGTTCACTCTTATTCCTCTTCTCTGCGTCTCTCATCTCCTCCTCTCCCCTTCTCTCCTCCTGTCCCCCCTCTGGATTGGGGAGGGGCGCGGAGAGCGAAGGCGAACAGCACATTCTGTGACTGTGAGGTGCGTTGACAAAGCTTCGGCAGGCAAGACGCTATTGCAAACCACAATGCAACGCGCGTGCCACAGGGGGCACGCGCAAACATAGCAACAACAGTATGGTCCTTCTGCCGAATGTCACAGAATGTAGTCACATAGTGAATCACATAATGTCTCCTATGGGCAGTCTGGGGTCACAGAATGTCTTGGTCCTTCTGCAGCGCCCCTCAGCGGTCAGTCGAAGTGGGTAGGCATGAAGAGGAAGATGAGGAAATATGATGATGCTGATGAGGAGGATGAGGGAGGACGAGGATCTGTGATTGCACGGCATTGCATTGCATGGCGTAGCATTGGCGTCGCCGACCCAGGCGCCGATGGTGACTCGATCGGTGAGCGCACTGATTGCATTGGTGATGCCTTAAGTGATTCGAAGTGCGCTTGTAATGCAGCTTGCAATGCCCCCTGTGCCTTCGGCTGTAAGTGCATTCCACATCGGCGATTTCATATGTGATTGTATGTGTCTTTCGATTAGTTGCGTCGGTGCATACATCGCTCGCGCAGGTGCATGGGGCAACTTGGTCGCATCGATGATGCCCGGAGTGGTGGCAGGTGCGTTTGCATCGCTCCAGCGTCTTTGGGGAGCAGTGGCGTGCGCTGCATTGGTGTCGGGGTCGGTGATTGCACCGCCCCGTAACAGTGCTTGCATCGGTGATGTGTCAAGCGATTGCAATGTTGCTTGCGTTGCAACTTGCAACGCCCGTGTTCCTTCGGCTGTAAATTTAAATGTATTTCAAATCGGCGATTGCATCTGTGATTGCATTTGTATTTCGATTGCGTCGGTGAATGCATCGCTCACGAATGTCACTGGGGCAACTTGGATCGATGTGAATCCGTCTTGGCCTCTGGCGGTGGCGTTCCACAGCGCGTCCTTTTCGAACTCCCAACATATAGGCGTTTCGGCAGAGTTTTTCGGAGCCCTTCAGAAGGGCTAGAGCCTCGCAGCCCCCAGGCTGCAGGCGCGCGGCCACCAGGAGGTTGCGTTTTCAAGACCGGCGCACGCTATGTCCAGTGGCGGTCGTGGCGGTGGCCGTGGCGGTGGCCGTGGAGCTAAGCGTTCTCGTGGTGACCTTCCCGACGGAGCAGCCGCTGCTGCTGCGGGTGGGAGCCGAGCTTCTACTGCCGCGCCAGCCCCTTCAGTCGACAGCTTCACCACCGACCCCTCGGCGTCGAGGGCCCCGAGGCAGAAGAAGACGAGGGCCAAGTCGGAGGACTTCGAGGCGGCTCAGATCTCGGCCATGTCGCCGTCGCCTTCTATGCCCGCGCACACCGTGCCGTGCCAGGTTCTCACCGTCAGCGAGGCTGGCCGCCCCCTCTGCGAGTTCGGCCAGTGCAGGTTCGCGAAGGATCGTGGGTTTCAAATGGAAGCAGTTAAGGATCGAGCATATTTTTTTCATGGTGGCGCTAGCTCCCCAAATAATAGGGAGGAGGATGACCTGGAGGAAGAGGGGGGGGAGAGGGGGGGGGTCCAACCAGGGAGATGGGGCCAGGGAGAACTCCGCCCCAGGTTCGGGTTGAAACCGAGGGCCTGTGGGCCCTCAGTTTGAACCCTCGACTTGCCTGCCGCTGTGTCGCCTCCTCAGTGGCACGGGGCATTCTAGGGCGGTGGGCCCCAACTGCCCAGGGGGGGGGGGGGCGCCCATTCAGAGACCCTTCAGTTCCAGAGAATGCCAGGCGCTCCATCCAACATGTTCTTCACGAGCCCCACCGGCCCTCTGGGGCGTTTCCTCTTCCAGAAACCCTTCCCCCTACTCGGTGCCCTGGGTTCTGCCCTCCCCCCCCCCTCCCCTCCATCCACCTTCCGCAGCCTGGACTCCTCACTCCTCCCTCCACCTCTCCTCCTCCTCTCCCTCTTGTCGCCTTTTTTTCTTTCTGATCCTGTCAGCAGGACAACCCGCCATGCGTGATGATGGGCCCCGTGTGCAACAGGAAGGCCATGCTGTGCAAGACCCACTACAAGATCTTCTCCGATGGCCTCGGCTACGCGAACCCAGCCATGGCCATGGGTTGGGCGCGGGAGATCGGCTCTCGCCCGAAGATCCAGGCTATGGAGCGCAACGTCGGCAAGCACGTAGACCCCAGCCAGCTGCAGTTCACGCCCGCCTCCGTGGAGTACGAACACACTGCTGGAATGAGATGTTACAGGTTTGCAACGGCTCTGAACAAGATCGAGTGGGAGAAGGCGCACCACAAGACGATGACTGCGAAGCTCCCGATACCAACTCATCCAGTGGCGGTTCTTCCGCGTTGCGACGGCTCAGGGGTCTTTGAGAAATGCTGGTTGTTCGCGTGGTCGCCATTCAGTGGGTGTCGCACCGTGGAGATAGGTAATGACCAGATGACGAAGACGGTGACGCCGATTATGAAGCCCTCCCAGCACCTCTACTCAGAGCAGGCCGTCGACGCCGCGAACTTTGTTGGTGGCGCGGCCCAGTCTCGCTTCATGGTTTGTAACAAGGACTTCGCGGGGCTCCCCACTCTGCCTGGCAGCGTCCACAACGTCGTCGGGGAGCCCGCGTTGCACCCTCTCGGATACAGCGTCGCCGACTTCCTGGAATCCGGGTTCGGCGAAGTGGAACCTGCTCGCGGTGGGGTGCCAAGGGCTCCAGGAGTCCGCCCGAAGGGTCCAGGCCGCTCCTCAGCCATCGCCGCCCTGCGGTTCGGTCATCACCGCCGCCGCGCTCCAATCTCTCGAAGTGCACTCTGAGGGAGACGCGCAAGCGGCGGCCGATTATCAGCAGGAGGTTGGGACCATTGCACCTACATCGCCAGGCGGACATGGGTTGTACGCACTCACTGATCCAGTGCCAGCGGCTGCTTCGAGGACGCCTTCAAGTGGAGGTCCGGCTATCTTGGACCAGCCGTCCCCGTCTGCGGCCTGCGACAACGAGTCGATGGCAAGCTGCTCGACGCGGCGAAGTACCTTTCCATCCTGGATTGCAGCGTGGCGCAGCGGAGCCCCAGCCTGGGGAACATCTTCCATCATGCTGGGGACGACCCTTTGGTTCATGTTGCCATTGTGTCTGCTAGCGTTCCGATGCCAACGTCGCTTCCTGGGGTTGTCATTTTTGATCCTGGGGGGCATGTTAAAATCAGAAAGCCGATGATGCTAGAGGCAGTCGGTCTCGAGCCATGTGCATGGCGTTTGCTAGCGGGTGCAATGGCTACATTGCTCGGGGGGGCGAGAAGGTGTCACCACCACAAGGAATACGCAGAGAAGGATCACGCTGACCCGAACAATGCCGAGCTGAAGCAGCGCCTCGTAACCTTCGGGCTGTGTCAGCGTTTCAACCCCAGGCACGAGGGCGATTACACATACGAGGTATTTGTGCAGACAGCCGACCAGCTGCGGGGCAGATCCGCATGTCTCGTCCCTCACGCGAACGCCGTCATCTGGAAGAAGCGCGCTAACGAGATGCAGATGACCACATCGACCGATGGCGACGCCGAGGCATTCCTCACGGCGTGCGCCCCCGTGGCACTGCCAGGACAGACAGACGAAGCCTTCGACATCCGAAAGCCTGTCTTATGTAGGCTCAGCGCGCTAACCGAGGCGGAGAAGATCCAGCGCTTCTACCACATCTTCATCGTCGGCTGGTTCCTTCCGAAGCTCGAGAACGGCTGCAGCGAGATGGTGTGTTTGCATGTGTGCACCAAGCTTCGGCAGTACATCAAGCAGATAATCGAGACCTTTGTGCTGTCTGCGACGGCGGTCCAAATCTTCGTTGAGCTTGCTAGTTTGCTACGGGCTCTCCAGGACTGCGCTGCCATGGATGCGATCATGAGCCCCGGCTTCATTGACAGGTGCAACACGCTGAAGGCGCTTTCGGACACTCGCAGCGTCTCCAGGCTCACCAAGACCTTCGCCGTCAGCGTGAGCAGCGTCGACAAGTGCACGCGCGCCATCTGCGAGGCGTCCCAATACGTCGCTGCGCTGCAGGGTATCGAATATGAGCTGGAAGTGCTTGTGGAGGAGTTGGTGGAGCCAGTCCCGCAGCCGCCAGAGGAGTCCGAGGAGAGCCCCGTGGATGGCCTCGCGACCTCGATTGCATCGCTGAGGTCGAAGATGACGAATGCAGCGAAATGCGTGGCAAGGGTTGGGCCAGCCTCGAGGGCAGGCGTTGCCATCGTGAACATGGTCAGCCAGAAAGGCTGTGCCTTCGACGAGCTCGCCAAGAAACGTTCGAACCCGGCCAAGGCAGATTCGGGCGAGATGCTCGGCTTACTCAAAGACGCGTGCCAGCAGTTCCCACTGGACTCAGCGATGAACAACATGTTGACCCAAGTGACCGACCGCGTGCACCTCGAGAGCGAGAAGAGGAGCGTGGATGCCTTCACAACCTCATTCAACGAACTCACGGAGCACGCCTGCAAGAATCCACCAGAGCTGACATGCGAGCTGATGCAGGATACCATCGACGTGGCTGGCAAGATGGGCGCGGGGCTGCTGGTCGCTGAATCGTTCAAGAAGATGGTTGAGGGATCTCGGATTGTTGGTGGTGCCTTGGTCAAGGTCGGCATGACCGAAGTTATGTGCGAGAAGTACGTGGCCCTCTTTGGCATCCCCAGGGACACGTTCGACGTCGAGTTCGAGAATACCGTCCATGCAGGCCAGCTGAACACCCAGCTCACCATGATGACTGTTTGCTCGCAGGTCGCCTCGGCAGCTACGGCCCCCAGCAACTTCTTGACTGGTCAGCCTCCGCATGGGCAGTTCGACGTGCCGAAGGTCGCTGCGGGCTGTGCGGTCTCGAAGGCCATCGTGGACGACTACAACTCAGCCTCGTTGAAGTCCGACAACAGCTGGAAGATCTTCTCCTCGGGCGAGTTCGCCGAACTGGAGACGGTGCTGTGCTGGGAGCAGGCCATTCGCAAGATTCGGGCTGATTGTGCTCGCCTGCTTCACAACGCAGGGGTCGAGATCAAGCAGTACATGGTGGAGAAGCTGCTCGAGGACTTCAAGGCCTTCGCAGACAACGCAAAGGGCTTGGCGGATGGCAAGGACTGGCTGGGCGGCTACTCGGGCAGGACGTGGAGCGGCCTCCTTGACTGGAGCAAGAAAGGCCTCCTCGCTCCTGGCGGCGTGGCGCCTGCCATCAAGGCGGAGTGGATGAAGCTCGACAAGGAGCATTGCTTCCCTCATCTTTCCTCCTCTCTCCTCCTTTCCCATCCTTTCTCCTCATCTTACCTCTATCCTCCTCGACGTCCCTGGATGAAGGTGGCCACTCCCCAGAAGCTCTGCCATTATTACTGAAAGTTTCCAGCCTCCGAGCAAGCCTCAAAACTTCAGAATCATGCCTGGCGCTGAAAATCATCGATCCTCCCCCCGCTATGGGAAAAAGCCATGCCCAAGTAACTTGTTGTATCCAGATGGTCACCCACGAGGCCTACTGCAGCTCCTCGAGAAGCTTGGCGGCCTCCCGCAAATCTTCTCGAGGAGGACTTGCACTCTCGTTATTGAGGGATCGGGGGGGCGTCGTCGGTCGCGTCGCGGGAGAGCGGGGGGGGGGGGGGGCGGAAGAAATATCATAGGTAGGTGCGTGCTATCTGTCCCGCGAGTGGGCCTTCCACGGGCCTCGGCGCCAGCAGGCCCCTTTCCCTCCCCAACCGGCCTCGAGAGGCCTATTACCGATGTGCCTCTCCCCCATCGCGCCCCTCTCGGGGCGCGCGTGGGGTCCGTGGAATGCGTGGGCAGGGGCATATGGGACTCAGAACACGACGAGTGGCACGACGCCGCGACGACCGCGACAACGACGACGACGACGACGCGACAACGACGACGACCGGCGAAGTGGGACCCCGTGCCCCACCGCCCGCTCCTGTCGAGCCTTCCCGCGAGGACGCGAAGACCATCGCCGCTGCCATGAAGCCGTATGGGGTGGCCCCCTTCACTTGGACTGTCGAGCAGGAGCAGATCATCGCCCAGGGGAAGGCGACGCACGCACAGTGCGTCATCCTCGGGGCCTTCGTGCCAATCAAGGACGCGTCGCCAAGGAGCCTCGCGGTCGCGCAGGCCTACCGCAACTGCACGGGGACGGGGGGCAAGTTCGACAGCCTGCACGACCTGATCAGGAAGAAGATCGCACCGATGGTGCAGTAGGAGCAGGCTCTGGGCCTGCCAGGGCCTGGGCCTGGGTCAGCCTGGGCCCGCCAGGGCCGCTCGCCTCCCGCCCGAGGAGGAGGGCCTCCGAGAGAACGAGGCGCGAGGAGGAGGATGGAAGGCGGGAAAGGACGAGGAGGCGTGGGGCGATGAGGAGGTGGGGAAGGGCGGAGATGAGGAGATGGAGGAGGAGCGGGGGTGGAGTGAGGGAAGATGGGGATCTCTGGAGGAAGGGGTGAATGAGGAGGAGGAGGAGGAGGAGGAGGAGAGGGGGAGATGAGGGGGGGAGGGGGAGGAGAGGGAAGATGAAGAGGTGGAGGAAGACCGTATATATGGATATCTGTTATGTTTCCTGGGGTGATCCATGGAGGGAGAGCGTGTCATGTTCCAGGATAAGGGCGCGGAGGGTGGTGTGGTGGGAAGGGGCGCGTGGGGAGGGCGATGACGGGGAGGTCGAAGTGCGCGTCAGATGGTGGAGGGATGGCTAAGGACGGGCGGAGGGATGGTGGAGGAGAGATGGTAAAGGAAGGGATGGAGGATGGATTGAGTCAAGAAGGGGGACTCGTTCCGCCTCCTCGCGGCGCTGCCTGGCGCGGAGACGCCAAGGCGCAGAGAATCTCTGAATGGTCGAGGCGCTCCAGCCTCGACGCGGCGGCCGAAAATGTGGAGAGAGGGGGAGGGGGGCGCCGCTCTCGGCGCCGTCCTGGCGTCGCCATCCTGTCGTCGCAGCCCCCCATCGCCGCTCTCCCCCCGCCCTTCCCCGCCCTTCGTGACGGCTCGCCGCTCTCCCCCCGCCTCCTCGCCGCTCTCCCCCCGCCCCCCGCAACTATGGTTGCGAGTGGCTGGGGTTGACGCGCCCTTCTCTGAACATCCGTGCGTGATCTTAGGGGTGCTCATCATTCTTCGGGTCGGGATGTGGCCTCGGCGGCGCATGTCCCCTCCGCAACCCCAGCCACTGGCTACTATGGATGTGGTGTCTAGGTAGTTGCTCAACCACCCTGGGGTCGCGGGCAGGACGAGTGTTTTCCACGGCGCGCCCCGTGCGCGATTTCTGGCATCCAGGGCTCCAGGATACCGAAATCACAGAAACCTTGGTTTGAAGTTTCTGGTGCCAAAATATGAGGAGGTGTTGTTGCAGCATCACAGATCCCCACCTTGTCGCTTCTGATACTGTATGTCCCCCTACTCCCTCTCAATTTCCTCTCCTTCTCCCGCTCGCGACAACCCTCACTGCCCCGCTTCACCTCAGCCGTTTCCCCCCGTTGTTCTGACTTGCGCCTCCCAACATTCACTCCCGCCCCGCGCTCCTCCCACCTACGTTTTCGTTCCCCTCCGTTTGGCGCTCCTCGTCGTCATCGTAACCACCCTCATTCTCGCAATCGCATCGTCCTCATACTCGCCCACCCCAGCTCCCTCATCGGTCGCCCCCCCCCCCCCCCCTTCTTCCAATGACGCTGAGGCTGCTAAGGATGAGACAAGAGAAAAATTGAGTTGAATGAGTCTGCTTCTTTTTCGTAGCCTTTTTTCGTGGGGGTGATTATTTCGCGCTTCGGCGTGGCATTGTTTTTGGCCATCTTGGCCTTGGGGCTGGATTTGCTCCTTGGGTATGTTTGATGCGTGGCGCGGCCTCTCAGGCCTTAGGATGGCGAACGGATCGCGAAAGTATAAGTTATCGCGCTGAACGTAGCCACTGCTTTCGAGCCTTATGTTGCATGCAAGTTCTGTTTGCCACGATAAAAGAGCGGCGCCCGCAGTGGGGCAGGTCGGCGCCATGTCGAGGTCGACGCCGTCCCGCTCTATCTCGTAGGCATGCGGCCACGCGCGTGGATCTCCTGTTTCAGATCTTACGCAGTGCTTCGAATATTGTTGCATGAAGACGAAGCCCGCGACGCAGCCAGCTGTCTGTTGCGAAACCCGATGAATCGTGCGGCGAACAGGCTCAAGAGCCGATGGAAGCGTGTTGGGTGGGTCTGGTGGCGAAGGAGGCGGAGCGCCAGCGGCTCGACGATCGGTTCCATTTTCCACCGGCCCAGACGGGGCATGCGAATTGGCGTCGCGTTTTTGTTGTTTTTTTGTTTTGGGTTCTCTCTCTCTCTCTCTCTTTCTCTCTCCCTCGCTATTTTTTTTTTTTCTCTCTCTCTCTCTCTCTCTCTCTCTCTCTCTCTCTATCTCTCTTCCTCTTCTGGCGCCCCGCAACCTTAAGCAGGAAACGATCGCTGATCTGGCGCTCTCGCAGCCACCACTGACGAGAAAGACAGCGGCTGCGCAGGTGCAAAACCTTCTCTAACCTGGCCCAAGCTCTTTCGAGGCCGAGTTCCTGACACGATCCGCACTTCGCTCACGCCCTTGGCCGATGGACCAAGCAAGAGAGCGTCAGGCGGACGCCTATTCTCATTCCATCGGCTTCGCGTCTCATTTCGCACACGCATGATGCATATGTTACGATCCACATTCCGCTCGCACCTCTGTGGACCGACGCCCAGCACAGCGCTTCGTGCCCCCATAGGGAGCTCCTCCGAAGGCCCCGGCGGTTGTGATCCCATGCGCCCGCGCCACCCCGTGCAGCGTTTCGTGGCTGGCCCCTCTCCACCGAAACCCTTGGCGGCAGTGTCCAAACGCGGCCCCCCCGCCTATCTTGGTATGCCCTCACAGACCTCGTGGCCCTCGCAGACCTAGTGGCCTTGCGTCCCGCATGCTTTGCGGTGTTCACAATTGCATGTGGCTGTGCCCTTCGTCAGGATAATTGTTTCCAAGTGTAGCTCGGAGTTCAACTCCTTCCCCAGCGCGAGCCCAGAGACGGCGGAGGCCGTGGATTCCGCTGCCGGTTTCCGAGGCCTTGCTCGGGGGCGCCACGCGCAGAGACTGGGGGAGGGGGGGGGCTTCTTTGGAAGCCCCCCCGCGGGTGGGGGGCTTCTTTCGAAGCCCGCCTGCGTTTTGCAGGCGATCGCACGCGTGGATCAAGGGGGCGTGGACCAGCGACGGGCCCCGTTTCCATGTGGAGATCGCAGATTTCCGCGGCCGAACGAGGAGGAACCGGCCGCATTGTGGGGAGGGCACCTCCCCCGATCCATGGATTCGGCGACCGCGCGCCAGATACATGGATCGCCAGTCCATGTTTGTGCGCCCCCGAGTCTTAGAAGGCGCGGGCCTTATCTTCTGGCACCTCCTAATAATCAGCCTCCTTCAAAGATGCTTTCCCCCCGGCCCCTACCCTCATGTGCGCGCTGTCAAGTCCAGGTGGGACAGCGCTGCCCTAGCCTTGCTTGGAAGTGCGTTACCGATGCCAAGATTGGGAAAGCGCGCCAGTGGATGGCCCTGAATACACAAAAGGGGGGGGGGGGGGGGGGGCTCGCAAAACCACCCCCCTGGGTGGGGGATTTTCGACCCCCCCCCCCTCCCCTCCTCAAGGGGGGGGGGGGGGGGGGGTCCGAATCTCCCCCCCGCTCCTTGAATGGGGGGGGGTCGGACCCCCCCCCTCCCCCCTTGGCGCTGGAAGGGGGGGGGGGGTTCGACCCCTCCCCCCCTCCCCCCCTTGCGCCGAACAGGGGGCTGGGGAGGGGGCTTCTCGGGTAGTGAGTAGAGAGTAGAGTGTTTCGAGAAGCGATTGGTGAGTGGTGGGTATTTGATAGTGAGTAGTAGTACGCAGTGAGTCGTGGGTGGTGAGTAGTGAGTAGTGGGTAATGGGCAGTGGTCGTTGTGTGTAGCGCGTAAGGATTCGTGTGTAGTGAGTAGTGAGTAGTGGGTAGTGCGTAGCGGGAAGGACGTAGTGAGTAAGGAATTTGTGAGTAGTGAGGAGTGAGTAGTGTGCAGTGAGTAGTGCATAGTGAGTAGCACGCAGGGTGTAGGGATGAGGGAGTAGACAGTAGCGAATAACGAGGACTGGGTAGTGAGTAGTGAGTAGTGAGTAGTGCGCAGCGAGTAGGGAGTAGTGGGTGGTGAGTAGCGATTATCGGGTAGCGAGTAGGGGGTAGCGAGTAGCGGGTAGCGACTAGTGAGTAGCTAGTAGGGGCGTTGTGTGTAGTGAGTAGCGAGGAGGGAGTAGTCAGGAGCCAGTAGTGAGTAGTGAGTAGGGAGTAGTGCGTAACGAGTAGGGAGTAGGGGTAGTGCGTAGTGAGTAGGGAGTAGGGAGCTGTGAATAGTTCGTAGGGAGTAGTGAGTAGCGAGTAGTGAGAAGCGAGAAATGGGTATTGAGTAGTGGGTTTTGAGTAGGGGGTAGCGAGTATAATTAGTGAGTAGTGAGTCGTGAATAGTGAGTAGTGCGTAGCGACTTGCTAGTAGTGAGTAGTGCGTAGGGAGTAGGGAGTAGTGAGTAATGAGTGGCGAGCAGTGCGTAGTGGGTAGTGGATTGGAAATTGGTTACTTGCTACTGAGTAGTGCTTAGTGAGTAGTGGGCAGTGAGTATTGTTTAGGGACTTGTGAGTATTGAGTACTGAGCAGTGAGTAGTGAATATGGATTTGGGAGTAGTGAGTCGGGACAAGGAAGCCGTGAGTAGTGAGTAGTGGGAGCGTAGTGAGTAGTCCGTAGCGGGTAGTGAGTAGTGCGTATTGGGTAGCGAGTGGGGCGTAGGGAGTAGCGAGTAGTGAGCAGTGAGTAGCGGTTACTGTGTAGGGAGTAGGTAGTCGCGAGTAGCGATTGGTGGATAGTGAAAAATGGTTGCGGGCAGTGAGTAGTGAGTAGTGAAGTGTGAGTATTGAGTAGTGGATAGTGGTTAGTGGGTAGTGAGTAGTGATTCGTGATTAGTGAATAGTGGGTAGTGAGTTGTGTTCAGTGAATAGTGGGTATTGAGTAGTGGGTGGTGAGTAGTGAGTTGTTTGTGGTGAGTAGTGAGTAGCGAGTAGGGAGTAGGGTGTAGTGAGTAGTGTGTCGTGGGTAGTGAGTAGTGAGTCGTGAGTAGTGAGTAGGGAGTAGTGAGAAGTGAGTATAGTGTAACGGGTCGTGAACGGTGGGTAGTGAGTAGTGCGTAATGAGTAGTGAGTACTGTTTGGGGCTAGGATTTGGT